TGAACAGGTTGGTAGCTCACCCTGCATGTGTCTCTGAGTCCTTTCGGGAAGACAGCAACAGAACAGGTTCTCACGGCTCCTCTAGACACAGCCTTTAGTTCTGGGCCTTTAAGTAAGAAATTCTAGAAGAGGGGCTGCCATGTGGTGCGGCAGGTTAGGCTGCCCCTGAGAACACCCACGTCCCAAATCAGCGCAGGTTCGAGTCCCAGCTGCTCCACTGCTGCTCCAGCTCCTTGCTAATGTACCTGGGAAGGCGGCAGAAAGTGGCCCAAATACTTGGACCCTTGTCACCCATGTAGGAGACCAGGACAGAGCTCTTGGCTCCTGGCTTCAGTCTGTTCCAGCCTTGTCTTTGGCAGCCATTTGAAGGGTGAGTTAGTGGATGGAAGATCTCTCTCTCTCTCTCTGTCTGTCTGTCTCTCTGTAACTCTGGCTTTCAAATAAATAAATCTTTAAAGAAAAAGAAACTCTAGAAGAGTAAATTTCTATTAGCAAAAAACCAAGTGGAATTAAAAAGTATTCTGTGAGAACCAGCTGCAGCTGTTCTATGCCCGTGAGTTCTATCTCCCTTCGCTCACCATCTCCCCAGCAGGCTACCATTCAGTTAACATTTTTCTTTCTCGGGAAGATTTTAAAAAATCTCTTCATGATCACACTAATTTCTGAGTTCTTAAATAATTAGGAGGACCTGGGGAGGTGAGGGTAGAAGCCACTGACATTTTATGAAACAGTTTGACTTTAGAAGAACCTTCCCTTCAAACATTTCTTTCTAGTCATACAAATATTGGCTGAGTCACAGCAAACGACTAAAAGTGAAAATGGGCAGCGCAGAAAGCCGCTGACGGGAAAGCTGCTATGCAAAGTTGCTGGAGTGCGCTCTCGCATGAACTCTCTGCCGCCGGCTGGTCAGCGGCGGGGCGCGCGCGGCTCCTCCCGTGGGACCTGCCCTTCACGCTGCTGCCAAGTGCGAAGTGGCTTTAACTCAGCTGGACTTTCTATGACTCAGCCCAGTGTGTGCTGCCTGCAGCCTGCTGCAGCGTGGAGCTGATGCTGCCTGCGTCTCAGGTCTCCGGACAGCAAGCGAAACTCCTCTGTGGGGTTCATCTCAAACACTGGCACTTACTCCCCACGTGCTGCACGGGAATAAGCCTGTATTTCAAGCCAGGGCTGGGTACATCGCGGAATGCATTTGGACTTCACAAGGAATGTGTGTCTCCTCTCCAGCGTGTGTGTGGATGGTGCAAGCATGAGTCAGAGGAGCAGGCATTGAATAGTTCGGCTTAGAACACAGTTCTTGGAGATCATTACAAAACAGTTTGCATTTTATCTGGATTCCACTGCAAGTCTTGCTGCCGCTTTCATGTATTTGTTAGGTTTTGGTTTTTGTCGTCTGTAGCTGGATTTGTGCCTCTATTGGTATCTGTCCCCACTCCTGCCAAGGTCTGGGGATAAGTTTGGCTTCCTCCCAGCCTGGGAGCGCAGGGCACGGAGGACAGGGCATGCTTGCGTCTCTGAGCCTTGCTCAGGATCAGGGGCAGAGAGATCTTGGGGTGTTCACTGAGGAAACCATGCTGTGTCTCAGTGACCTACGGCTCTGAGGCTGAAACCGACATCTTGTATTTCAGTACCAGGTTACGGCCAGGCTATGACCTGGGGAGACAGGCAGCCGTGGTTATGGTTTCCACACATTGGAGGCTATAACATGTGGTTGTTAGTATTCGTGTTTGGAAAATGTCCAGTATCACCCCTACCTGAGAGTAGACTGAGGTAGGATCAAATGAAGTGAAAACCGCTGGGGCTACCCAGTGACCCCAGAATCTGGTCCAAGTCTCAGGTGTGCTTTGTGTCTGTCACACCTGCTCCCAGGGTCCCTGAGGACCAGACCGTGGCCTTGAAGGAGGGGGCACAAGACAACAGTGGAGCAGGGGCAAGGTCCAGGTGTGCATCACAGAACAAGGCTTTGCAGTCCTAGTTGTGCGAACTTGAACCTTTAGCGAAACAAGATAACACCACTGAATTCCTCCAGCTTCTACAAAGATAAAGAATACACACACAACACATCTAGCACGTGTGAGGTGGACCCAGGGGATCCAGCCGACGGCCCGCCCCAGGGATGGGTCCTACACTGTTGTTAATGGTGTTCTCGCTTTGTTAAGGGATGTTGTGTTTGCGCATCACACATTCAGCAGTGCTTGTCTGCTTGCCAAGGACCTGCTGGGAACGGAGGTGCCTAACCTGGGAATACAGCAACGAAAGCGCCATCCAGCCCCGCCTGTCAGTGAGTGGCAAGGCTGAGTTGTGCTGCCTTCCATCCTGATGCACACAGAGACCCTGGGGACAACAGGTGACATCAGCCCGGGTTCTGGGGGGACCTCTAACGCCAGGTCTGGCGGCTCCTCCGGAGTAGCTCTTTAAGGCCTCTAGGAGATTTAAAGATTCTTCCAAACCTGGCTGAGACGGACGGATCCTGTGACCCAGGGGGTGAACAGCGCCGTGTCTGTCAGCCTCTCCCTTAGGGAGATTCCTTAGCGATTTGGTACAAGGATCCTATTTGATCCCAAACAGCCCCTTGCTCTATTTCCAGACTTCCCTTAGAATGTGAACCAGACAGCATCCCCAGGGGACACACGCGTGGGCGTTGTCTTCGGGAAAAGATGCCCGGTCAATCTGGGGAGACATTTCTCGCTCCATCCTCCTCCTGGAGAGTCGAGCACACGGAAGGTTGGGGGAGAGGCCCATGTACCGGATCCCAGCGTTGGTTACCTCTGGGGTGCACTGGAGTAGCAGAGGTGAGACTGCCCACATTTGTTTAATATAAAACGAGGACTCCTGAAAGTGTTCTGCAAACCTGGCGTTAGAGGTCCCCCCAGAACCCTGGGCCGGGGCTGTAGAACTTTCCTGGGGAGGAGCTGCCCTAAGCATGACCGTTCTCCTTGGTCACGTAATTGAATAATTACCGCAAGAGCCAGAGGGGAGTTAGAACACGACCCCCGAGGCGCGTCTCACCAAGAAATACGCTGGGGTCTCCCTTGGGGGAACACAACCCCAGGGAGGTCTATGGAGACTCCCACTGTCTTCCCAGGAAGGAGGAGCTGCCCCGTCCACTCCCTCCACTGAACTAAACTCAACTTTGGCCAGAGGACATCGCCACTTGAGCGGCCACACAACAAGCAGCAACCCGAGTGTGTAAACTAAGCGGAGTACACTTTTGCAACAAGAGTATCGTCTCGGCCAATCGCAGCGGCCGAGCTTCAGTCAAAGGCAGACGATTGCAATCAGAACCAAGGCTGAGCTGTAATGAGCACGCTAAGTCATTTCCGTTCCCTGACCAGGGACGCAGCCTGCACGTGTTGGAGAGCGCGGGCTCTGCTCCTTTTTGGCTCTGAGGTCTGGCGATTCATCAGTCACTCTTTGCTGAGTTAAACTCTGTCCTGTTGAATTCATCTATAGCTTTCTTGGACAGCATTTGGCCTAGAGTTAAGATGCTCTTCCGACCCCCACACCCTACACCACAGCCCCTGTATTCAATTACTCGCCCCATTCCTGACTCCAGCTTCCTGCTACTGTGTACTGTGGGAGGCAGCAGTTGGTGGCCCAAGTACTTAGTTTCTCATCACCCAAGGGAGAGACCCAGACGGGTCCAGTCTCAGCTGTTGAGGACGTGTGGAAAGTGAACCAGCAGATGAGTGATCTCCCCCTCCTTCTCTCTCTGTCACTGCATATCAACTGGATACAATAAGCTAAAGAGTTACAGCTTTTATTTAGCAACACTGTTGCAGTTAGGTGGTCAGCAGTGAAGGGCAGGGCACTGCCTGCAGCCCTGTGCTCCAGGGAGCCAAAACCCAGCCCTGACGTTTCTCCTCTGCCTGGGGCATTGACCCTCTCAAGCTTTTTGGAAAGGTAAAGATTTTCAGACATGGGCTCAGTCCAGGTCTCCCATGGGGTGGCAGGAACCCAGTCACTTGAGCGATAGCAGGTGCCTCCCAGGGGCTGCCTTGGCAGGAAGCGGAAGTCGTGAGCGGGAGCCAGCCGTAGAGCCCAGGCTCTCTAACATGGAGTGCGGCTTCTCAGATCCCAGGCTGATCGTCTGCTCCTCTCATTACTGGTTTTTAACCTGGGAAGATCGTTGCTCTTGGTAGTGATCTGAGGGGGTCTTTTAAAAGTCAGGGAATGCATGTGATATGAGAAAACTGTGCATGAATTTCAATAATTGTTTGCGCCAAAGAAACTTATCTTCCAGCTTCCATTTTTCAAGCCCCCTCAGACATTGCAAGAAGGGACAGCCGAGACGCGGGGCTGAGTTTCTTTGGCCACCGTGTGGTTGAATGGGTGAGAGGAGCCGGCTCATGAGTGCAGCCAATGCTCGCAACATCTATGGTATTTTAAAAACTGGTTGTATTTCCCATCTTAATGGCTCCTAATTATTCCACAAGCATAAACCTTGTACAGTTCAAGAAGACTTTTTGAGAGCAAAGCTCAAACCTCTGGTCTCCTGTATCTGCCAACACGAGTCGCACTTGGGGAGATGGCAGAGTCTGGATGCACTTGCTGACTTGGCTGGGACGGCTGTGGCAGCTGGGAGAACCTGGACTTGAGTCATCAGCCCTGGGGGTTATTCAGCTGCTAAGTTTAGCTCTCTTTCCCCTCAAGCCTTTTATGAGAAACACCACTAGAAAGAGAGTGGTATGGTATCATCTCTCTTGGCCTCCACTGCGCTTTTGCTGGTATTGAAATGACCAAGCGAGCAGAAAAGAGGCCCCGAATGACAGAAGGGAAGAGCCACGGAGGGCTCGGGACCCTGTCTGGGGGGAGCGGCTGACCGTGACCGAGACACACAGCCACCTGCTGAGTGACTGGCCACGTTCTTGTGAAGCGAGAGTCGCTGAGTCTAAACAACAGATGACCGCGGTTTCTTCTGGTTCCGTGTCAGCCTTCCTAGCCCGGGCCTGCTCCCTTTCACCCATGCGCATACGTGGTTTTGCACACGGGTGCGCTAGGGTTTCAGGATGAGTCACAGGTAGGAGGAAAGTCCTGGGGTCACGCTGACAGTCGCGTCCCTGACGAAGGGTTCCGTCCGCTCGCCGTCGCTGCGGGTTTCTGCGTACTCGGAGGCTTTTCTCCTTTTTACCCTGAACTCCTGTTTCCTGAGTTTATGTTTCTGGTGAAATGCTGGGACGTGGTAGGCAGCTGGTAAAGGGTGGTGTGGCCCAGGGACATCCTGCAGCTCGTCAGTGCTCCTGACTGCCGTGGGGACATCTTGCCCATGCTGCGTGACAGGTGAGCAGTGCTGGGGGGATTTCAGCAAGATGGGGGATGGGCTGTCCAGCTCCCGGAGGGTGGAGCTGGGTCCCGGGAGACCAGGCAATCCTGGAACCACGCACTCTGGGCCCCGGAGAGGGTGCCGCGAATGTGGAGACAAGGCCCGCCCGGCGGTGTCCTCGTAGGGGCAGGGTCTCTTGCAGGGACAGGCTGTGGGGACAGGGTCTGTTCTGGCTGTGAGAACAGTATCTGGAGAGGCTGGGCGCTACCGCAGTCCCCGCGGATGTGGTGGGAGCAGAGGGCTGGGGGCTGGTATTGTGGTGCAGTGGGTTGAGCCGTCGCCCAAGACACCTTTTGGTTGCTTTGTCTTTTGCTGGGTTTTCAGTGGCTTCCCTGCTGTTGCGAGCTGGGCCTTCATTGTGGCGATGGGTTAGTTTTCCCTTCCCTCATGTTTTCTGCCAAAGTGTCTTAACTCCTGCTTTGGGTGAGCCACCATTTCCCGAGCTCTTGTATTTACTTTGAGGTCGTATTTTGCCAAGGCAATGGCTTCTTAATTCTTTGAAATATGTGGTGATATGTTACAGATCACATATTTATTCTTCTTCATAGTAATGGTTTTCTTATTCCACTTTTAAAAATTTTGATGTTTCCATTTCATTTACTTGAAAGTGCAGGGAGAAAAATAGGGAGATAGAGGCACAGGGGGAGGTCTCCCATTTTCTGGTTCACTCCTCAAAAGCCTGCCCCGGCTGGGGCTGGACCAGGGCAGAGCCAGAAACCAGGAACTCAGTGTAGATTTCCTGTGTGGGCGGCACAGACGTAAGTAGTTGACTCCTCACTTTCTGGCTTCCGTGGACGCGGGAGCCGGGCTGGGACGCAGACCCAGGCCCTCTGACGTGGATGTTGTAGGTCGGTCTCTTAATCCCTTGGCCAGCACCCACGCCTGCAGTACAGGGTTTCTGGTTGAGGTTTGTCTCTCATTTGTTTTAATTCCTTTTCCTGCAGTGTTTTGATCGACAGGCGTGCTGGCTCCTTTATGGTCACCTGTTGTATGTGAATGAGGCAGGTGCTTCTGGTGTGGACAGGGTCACAGGGATTCCTCATAGCACATGGCCTGTTGACAGCATTTGTTCCAGCTGCTCCTTTGAAAGGCACCTGAAATTCTCAAATGACACTGCACCCATGGTGGTTCTACTTCCTGCCTCTCCCACAGACTGCTTCCTGCATGGGTGGCGTCTCTGGCTGATTTCCCATCCAGGCCACCATATCCTGCCTGTGCCAGACTCAGTCCATGAAGCCCCTACTGCCTGCCACCCCTTCTCTGACAAGGGAAGCTGACGTACCCAGCAAAGCAAGCCGCTCCCCTACAACCTTTGCCCTATGACCCTTGTCCCGGTCTGCAGCCGCGGAATCTTCTCTCCTGGTTCACCTCCTCTGCAGTCAGCCTCATTCCTTATTCTCACAGGCTTGGGGTCACCCCCACATCTCAGCCTAGTCCGCACTCACAGGCTGTGGGGTCGCCCCCACGTCTCAGCCTAGTCCACACTCACAGGCTGTCTTTGCGAGAGGGCCGAGCTGTCTTCTTTACTCTTCCGTATTTAAACTGGGAGTCTCCCCGTTTATCAAGTGCTTTACTTTAAATATAGAAAAGTCCAAACTCTGGAAAGGATTCTCATACTACAACGTGTGTTATTATTTTAATTCTCTGTCTTGACACGTGTTGTGGCACGTTCACCTCATAGGTGCCATTCATCAGTAAAAGGAACAAATGACTGCGGCCTCCTGGGTAAGTCCCACAAGCGTGTGCACTGCATGGTTCCACTTGTGCGATGCTCACATTAGGTTAAACCAATCCGTGGTGACAGAAACCAAGCAGCGCTTATTGGGCTGGGAGCAGGAGGGGTTAGGGACCAGAGCGAGGCTTGAAAACCAACAGACTTCTAAATACTCAACAAGTCTTACTGTGCTGATAGAGGGTTCTATACACTGACAGAGGTGTGGGCTAAATGAGGATGTGTATTTGTCAAAACACGGAACTGTTAACACCTAACGCCTGTGTGTTTTATTAGATATAAATGATATCATAATAAAAATATTAAAATAACCCTTCCCTTTTTTTGGTTAAAGATCTATTTATTTACTTGAGAAGCACAGCTACAGAGAGAAAGAGGGAGAATCAGAGAGAAAGGTCTTCCATCCGCTGTTCACCCCGAAATGGCAGTGACGGCCAGAGATGTGCCAATTCAAAGCCGGGAGCCAGGAGCTTCTTCTGGGTCTCCCGCATGTGTGCAGGGGCCCAAGCACTTGGGTCATCTTCCACTGCTTTCCCAGGCCATCAGCGGGGAGCTGGATCAGAGGAGGGGCAGGTGGGACTCGAACTGGCACCCAAAACAGGATGCCAGTGCCACAGATGGATGCTTAACCTACTATGCCATAGCGCCAGCCCCTAAACCCAAAACTTTTTGTTAACTAATTTGAGGTGGCTTAGAAACTGCTTATAAACTAAGTTATCAAATGAAACTGTTTGAAATGAAGAAATAACTGTGATTTGTGAATTCTTAGTTACATATTTCATTTTCTGTTTGAAACACAGATTTGATAGATTTTACATGAAAATCTTTTTAAATCTTTCAATTCCTAAGACAGTTGATGCCTCATGCTAAAATTCTCAAAATATTTTATGCTGTGAAGTATATACATTGATAAGTAAGGCTTAACTTCCCTTCCTATGGTTCAAACCTGGAGGCCCATCCTCATCTGTGTGTACCGCGGGTGGTGCTAAGTGTGTCATGTTCTCAGTGACCGAATCTTCGGGACTGTTCTGTGTGTAGTGGATGAAGTTGGGATCCTGGTGGGACGGACGTGATTGCTCATCAGAATCTAGAATAGCATGATTAGAAAGCACAGCGGCTTAATGTGATTACAGGGACCACCGGGGACGCTGAGAACAGGCAGCCTGGTTCGCGTGGCCGTGTGAGCGGTGACGTTCGCGGAGGAGGATCTATGGCGTCTGCCCGCGGCTGCCTGTGGGGACTTCTCCCACCTGGAGTCCTCCTCCACCGTCGCTGTCAGGGCCCCTGTCTTTGGTGAGTTCAGGTTTGCTTCGCTTGTTTATCCAGCCTTGGCCTAGGTGCACTCTCTGTGTTATCTCAGCCCCGGGCTTCCTGCTTGCTCGCGCCTCTTGTCTGATAGCTGACTTCTGGGAGCTGCTCACCTGCAGAGGAGCCGCGCGGTGGGACTCATTTTTCTCTGACATCTGCGCTTCCGCTCATCGTGGAGCTCCAGATGGAACAGACCTTCCCAGGAGGAGCAGGTGACTCGGCGTCTTTTGATTGAATCTCAGTGGCCAGACAGGGTAATGAGCAGCGTGTGTGCATCAGCAACTTAATTATTAGATTTTTTTCTCAAAAAAACAGGGGGACACATGTTATTGATGGACAAATCCCAGGGGAGTGTTTGCAATGATTCAGGACTATGTCCCTTTTACAGATTTTTCTCCTGCAAAAATAATGTGCACTTTTTTTTAAAACGTTTATTTGAAAAGCAGAGTGACAGGATGAGGAGGCAAGAGGGAGTGAAAGAGCAAGAGAGAGGGAGAGAGAGGGAGAGGGAGAGAGAGAGGGAGAGGGAGAGGGAGGGAGGGAGGGAGAGAGTGGTAGGGAGGGAGAGAGAGGGAGAGAGAGGGAGAGAGGGAGGGGGAGAGGGAGAGAGGGAAGGGGAGAGGGAGAGGGAGAGAGAGAGGGGGAGAGAGAGAGGGAGAGGGATCGCTCTGCTGGCTCACACTCCAAATGCCTGCAACAGCTGAGGCTGCCACGAACCAGGAACCAGGAACCAGGAGCCCCATCTGAGTCTCCCGTGTGGGTGCCAGGGACCCCATCTGAGTCTCCCGTGTGGGTGCCAGGGACCCCATCAAGTCCTTGAGCATCACTTGCTATTCCCAGGGTGCACATTCGTAAGAAACTGGGTCAGAAGTGGAGGTGGGACTCGATCCAAGCACTGTGCTATGAGATGCACGTGTCCCAAGCATCAGCACCATAATGCCAGCCCCAGATATGCACTTCTTACGTTTCAGAAATTTCGTGCAGCCATGACTGTAACTATTTGATGATTCTGTATTATCTCACTGTTAATCAATGTCTTTTAAGTCACTAAAAGGCGTCCATACCCTTGTGGTCCAGCAGTCACTGTGCTCAGCTGTGGAACTAGACTAAAGCAGTAAGGACGTAGCCGTGGGCTGTCCTGAGCCAGGCAGCCCTGGGGCGAGAGCAGGTGGAACAGAGGGGCTCAGTCTTCTCTCTCACGCAGAAGCGCACATGTGGGCTCCTACGAAGGTGCTTCAACATTCTGTGGGAAAATGGGCTTGGAGGACAAGTTTTTTAATTAATTAATTTATCTATCTGAAAGTCAGAGTTACACACACAGAGAAGGAGAGGCAGAGAGAGAGAGAGAGAGAGAGAGATCTTCCATCCGCTAGTTCACTCCCAAATTGGCAGCAACACCAGAGCTACACCGATCCGAAGCCAGGAGTCAGGAGCTTCTTCCGGGTCTCCCACACAAGTGGGACTTGGGCCATCTACTACTGCTTTCCCACCCCATAGCAGAGAGCTGGATCAGAAGTGGAGCAGCTGGGACTGGAACCAGTGCCCATATGGGATGCTGGCACTGCAGGCGGTGGCTTTACCTGCTACACCACAGTGCTGGCCCCGAAGGATAAGTTTTTTAGCACAAAACATTTTCTCTGGAAATCCATGCACTGTTGTCTTCATAACACGTAATTGCAGACTTTGTGAGGATGCCTCGTGTGCATGGATTGCAGAATTATTTTTTATTTTTTATTTTTTTGACAGGCAGAGTGGACAGTGAGACAGAGAGAGAGACAGAGAGAAAGCTCTTTCTTTTTCCGTTGGCTTACCCCCCAGTGGCCGCTGCGGCCAGCACACCGTGCTGATCCGAAGCCAGGAGCCAGGTGCTTCTCCTGGTCTCCCATACGGGTGCAGGGCCCAAGCAGTTGGGCCATCCTCCACTGCACTCCCGGGCCACAGCAGAGAGCTGGCCTGGAAGGGGGGCAACCGGGACCAAATCTGGCACCCTGACCGGGACTAGAACCCGGTGTGCCGGCGCCGCAGGCGGAGAATTAGCCTAGTGAGCCAAGACGCAGAATTGCAGAATTTTTTGCATCGTCTGCCCACGAACATTTCAAGTTCCCTATAGTCAGAGAGGAGGCAACGGAGTCGCGGCAGAAGCCCCTTGCCATGGCCACCTTGGCCCCTTGCACAGCCTGTGGCCCTGCCCTGCCCCTCCGCCGGCTCCCTTGGCATGAGGTCTCCCTCCCGAGGGGACCGTCCTCATATTGATGCCCGCCCACCTGTCCTGAAGGTGGAGACCAGGGAAGGCCTGATTCCCCTCCACTGCTACGTGGAACAATGCTTAGCTGAGAGGTGAAGAGGGAAGCCTCAGGTCTCGAGAGCCCCTCCTCGCCATGCCCCCGGCTCCTACTTGCAAGGCAGACTCCTGGGCACCTGGCCCTTGTGGGTGGGCTCTGGGCCCTGGGATGTCAGGGCCTGCACAGCCGTGGGCACGCCTGGCTTGCCTTCAGTGACTGAGAGGACTGACCCCTGGGGCTCTGACGCACCGAGCTGGCACAGTGGGGCGTTGCTCGGGGCACCATGGCCTCGTGGCAGCCTTAGATGCCACACATGGCAGCTGGCCCATCACTTGGACAATTGCCCCCTTCCTCCTGGGGCTTTCAGAGGCAGCTTTTGCAGCAGCTGGGTCTATGGAGGCCCCTCTAGGGGGGTGCACAGGGCTCCCATGCCTGGTGCAGTCCATCACATGGCACGTATGCAGAGGTCAGTACTAGAGCAAAGCGTGTCCCCTCACTCTGTTGGTCACTAAGGGACTCACTTGCAGGTGCCCGGATGGGTCCTGGGGACTTCATGGCATGGTGCAGTTTCTCAAGGCCGGCGGGCGGGGGGAGAGGGAGACGCGGAGCTTATGCAAGGTCACTGCAAAAACTGTGAGAAACGGAGAGAAACGAAGTTCACAGTGCCGCAATCCGTGCATTCGGGGGTCTTCAAAATGTTCATGGGCAAGCCATGGCCGCATTTTAATCTTCTTAAAGCCAGAATGAACCCGTCTTTTAGTTTCGTTTTCCATGAACTGGTGGAAGTATTCTGGTGTAGTTTTCGATGCTCTCTTCCAAGAAACAAAATCATGGCCCAAATCTACGAATGCGCAATGAGCTGCAGAAGCTACATTTTATTGAGAATGGGGGAAAATCACAACAAGTTTTACATTTGAAAAGTTGACAAATCTCACAGTTACGACGGAAACTCAGAAAATGGCATATGACGGCTGTGAGCGGCGTCGCACACCTCCGGAATCGCTCTCCGTGCCCGTGTTAGCTGTGCTCAGCCGCCTCTCACATGACAGCAGCCCAGCAATGCTACTTTCTTGTCTTTAAAGATTTACTTATTTATTTGAAAGGCGGAATCACAGAGAGGGAAGGAAAGAGAGAGACATATCTCCCATTTGCGGGCTTGCTCCTAAAATGGCCGTGATGGTCAGGGCTGGGCCAGGTTGAAGTCAGGAGCCTGGAACTCCATCAGGGTCTCCCACATGGATGCAGGGGCCCACGCACTTGGGCCATCCTCCGCTGCTTTCTCAGGTTCTGGATTGAAAGTGGGGCAGCTGGGACTAGAACTGACGTCCACGAGGGATGCTGGTGTGGCAGGTGGTGGCTCAGCCCGCACCGCCACTTTCCTTTCGGAAGGCGTCTCTCCTCTGGCACGCCTGGTGGTCCTTGCTGTGGCTTTTGTTCGTGGCCTGGGGAGTCCTTGCCTGCGGATGCAGATGTTGGTGGCACATGGGGACCACCCGTTTCGTTTCTTGCTCAGGGAGAGATGTTTCCGGTGTGTCCTGGTGGAGCTGCCAGCTGCGATCTCTCCGGGCCCGGCTGGTGCAGCTCAGTCAGCTCTGTGCGCTCCCCCCACCTCCCTGCTCCAGTGCCCTGGTGGCGAGTTGGCCATTAAGGCAAGACCATGATGGCCCCAAACAGAAAGTGCTGTTTATGGATGCAGGAACTGGGTGCTTAGGGCCAGGCCGGGCTGGGCCAGGCAGCGTAGATGCTCCTCACACTCCCTCATCAATGGGACCTTCACTGGGCAAAAGGAAGCCCCTCCCCCTACCCCACCCCGGCTGGGCAGAGGGTCCATTCCTGGGCACAGCTTGCAGGGCCGTGGCGGGGACCACACACACAAGGGATGCACGTGGGTAAGTGTGCGGTGGTCTGCTCCTGGTGACTGCTCAGTGACTGGCAGCTGTTAGCCTGTTAGTAAGTGACCATCTGCTTGAATCCTCCTTCTGTGGGCTTCGTCTGAACCCATTCTTTGCCCAGAGCCTGCTCAGGCTCAGGAAATTCACAATGTGGAGGACCTGCGCCCACTGCCCTGCCCTGGGGACCACCCCACAGCTGAGCGAACCCAACACAGCACGCAGTGGGACGGCCTGACGTGCAAACAGCAGAAACTATTTTCTATCGCTTAAGCCAGAGAAAGGCGTTTATTGGTTCCTGCAGTCGAGAAGTTTCAGGGTAGCAGGGTTGAAGCTCCCTGCGGTGAGCTCGAGCTCTGGTTCATGAGGTCACGGGTCCCGACCTCTGCCCACCTGTGGCTTCCTACTCGGGTGCACGCTGTCTGTGCAGTGGATCTGGGCTGCCCCAGGCTTTAGTCCTCCTAGGTCAGATCAACCAGTGGAAAGGAAGCTCCAGTCTCTTGCTTCCTCCAGTTTCCGGGAGACCCACTTTGGGCCACCTGTCCCTCAGCCTAGGTGCCAAGGTGAAGGGGGATTCTGATCGCCCAGGCCTGGGCACTCTCCGTTCTGAGCACTGGGGCTTCTTGCTAGGTGCATCCCTACCAGGTGGACTGAGTGGGGTGGGGGCCGTAAAGGACCAGCACAGTCCTCTTCCCAGAGTAGAGGACACGGGTGTTGGGTGGATGAGCGCTGCAGGACCCACAACCACGCGGTGCCAACCCCCGTGTTAGGAGGCTGTCATCACCAACACTGTAGGATTCTAAGCAGATGATAA